GAACACTCGAATTCATTCCAGAAAACAACTCGGGTCTTGTTGAGCTTTAACAATTGTACGATTCAATCACAACAAATCCAAGATGTATACGCCTCAAAAGGCAGAATGGTAGGAAAAATAGTTTCGAAGCCTCGTAATGTCACAAAGAAAAATAGTGTTCTGATTGGTTCGTGCTTCCGGCTACATCCTAATGTGGCCAAAAATATATCACTGACGGAACCGGATTACACGAAAATCGAGCTGAAAGATCTGAGAGTTTTTCTGCATAACCATCAAACTACGCACGGCTCTATATCTCGCCGCCTCGACAGGCTCGCGTTTTCCCTCGCCTGTCTCGTTGGCAATAAACCCCTTCTGGCGCCTGGCATGTCGGCTGATAATGTCCGAAAAATGAATATTTGGCCGAGAAGCGAAGCTTCGAGCGCAAATGTGAAATTTTGAGGACAATCTCTCAGCCAAGGACTTTATCAGCCAACATACCAGCGAGCCAGAAAGAGGTTTATTTATTTTATAACCCTCCCATTAATTTTCTGCATATTTTGTTGACTCTTTTGCACTTATCGGAACAGCATTGGCGACCACTTTTTTTTATGCCATTATCAGCGGATTCCACAGTAATTTTGCACCACGTGACGTAAAGTAACCAATAGAATTGCGCGAAAATTAAGCGTGGGTTATAAATTGTCTTAACTTTCTGAGACGTCATTCGAACAGGAGTGAGACGCCAGCGATTTTGTAAAACTGAGCCCAAATTAACAAGCATAATAATAAAACACATATGTAGCACGACGTCACGCGAGGCGAACTTTAAGTAAGCGTATATTCAACGTTTTAAAGTGTATTTGCTTTATATGTGATAACATGCTCTGACCAATAACAGACAAGATAATCTCTTCTCGGCTAGTCAGTAAAACAAACTTGAAGAGGACTTTGAAGGTCATTGAAGGTTATATTACTTTCTAATTTTTCGCATTTTACATGAACCAATTATGTAATATATACATTGCAACATAAGATCAAGAAGAATATTGTTGTCCCCGGGTGAAATATTTTATACTCACTCCAACAGATCAGTATCTGCCCAGTCAGGATCATGAATAACGTCAGACGCGGTATACACCGGAGGAGCATAGCCTGGGAACGGCATCTTAATATGGAAGTTAAATACTCTAATAAGTGTTACGTAGTAGTAAATGTCATCGGCTGACGGCTGCATCTTGCATATTATACATTTTATACTAGCTACATAAGGCAGGGTCTTATTGAATAGCTGTATGACGCTATGTTAAAAAGCAAGGTAACAATGGCACGTTGCAATCACAAGAAAATACAAAACGTTGCTTTGTTGTTATGAAACCTAATGCAAAGTTGAAGTATAAATTTTCGCTTGCAGCTTGGGTTTACACAAAACAATCCCCGCGGAGAGTGTGCTTACAGGCTACGCTTCGTCTTATAAAACTCATTTTACAGACGAAATTTAGCTGTGTCTTCTCTTTCGATAAGAGACTCAGTGCGCACTCATTAGATCTTTATTTCGGTCTTAAGCTGTCACATGAAGAAATTTTACTTAGAATAACTGTATCACCTGCCAGTCCACAAGGAAGTCTGGAACTGGATACCGTTGTCGGTCGCTCAGTGGATAAGGGGACTGCCTCGCTCTCACGTGTAGACCCAGTTCTCTGGCGGCTGCAAATGCGTCTCTGAAGTGCACATTGCAAGGAAGCGTGTTGGAACGTCTGCGAGTTTTGCCTTGAGCAGCAGCCTTTGCTAAGAGAAAAAATACACGAGAAACAGTAAGATTGCACCGCTCTTTCTTTAAGTAACTGAGTTTCTCTGCAAGTGAGAACTGCTAAAATAATTCAAGCTTTCAAATGAACTTGATTGCAGATTTTCCCGTTACAAAGAAACAACTAAAGCCCTCTGAAAGGACATGTGGTTACTGGATGGCGAGTAACCCCAATGGTACAAAAAAGAGCGGCGGAGTTTTAGCTTTATTGCAAAGTATTGCTTTAGTTAGTTTTATTGCAAAGCTAAAAGCTCTTTACAAAGCCAATGACATCCTTAAGAGATGTTAGAAATCTTATCCCATTAAACTTAAACGATGGTGAACAGACGACGCTGAATTTATTCTGCTTTATATATATAAAGCAAACATCTCTCATTTGTCAGTATTTAATAAAGAATCCAGAATTGACCATCGATCGGTTCTTGTTTCTTCGAATGATTTAAGATTCTTTAAAACGTGTCAAGTGTTTCTTCTTCTCTTAAACGGTTGCGGAAGATATCAAACCTTGAGATTGAACTGCACCCTCACTGTCTGCACGTTTCAGCGGCATCTGTGGTGGAACATGCTCAGGAGGAATCCGCGACTTTATTTTACTGGCTTCCGCTGACCCATTGTTGGTGGCCTCAGAAGGTTCATCAAGTGAAGGTAACGTGTTACTTCTTCTGAATTTCCGAATAGCTTTCTGAATACTGCTCCTTTTAGACACCTGACGGTACCATGCTGGGAATGGGTTGCTGTGAGGAAGTTTGTGCCTGAAGTACATCGGTATGCTGCGAGTACTAGAGTCTGCTCCTGCTTGCTGTCTGTGTACGTAAGCTGGCACACTCATCATCCTGCTGAACAGTCTTGCAGGGCCGCTCGCGCCGCTCCTGGCTGCAGATTGATCTTGATCACGTGATTCAACCGTCCACGAGTCACTCCCAAATATGGCTTCATCTCGCTTCTCTGTAGGGGAGGAGAGGGGTTCTTGTACGTTGGCAAGCATGTCAAGGATTTGTATTGTGTATTCTTCCATGCGTGTCAAGCGGTCTTCAATACCATTCACCTTTTTGGTGATTTGCTGGACTTTGGTTTCATTTTCTCGAGTTGTTTCCTTCAGATGATTGTTGATCGAGTCAACTCTAAATAACAAGAAAATAGCAAAAAACGACAGATTACATCACACACCATCCCAGGTTTAATTTAACGTTGCTCTCGGGATTTGTGTACTGAAAAACTTACTACGAAAACAAATTGTGTTTCTCTCAGTGATGAAATACGTTTTTCCAAGTGTTAAATTTGTTTAGATATTTGGTCTATAATGACGACGACATTTTATGAAATTTTCGTGGAGCTATCCGCGTTCACTTGTTTTGAGTACGAAAAAGTAAATTTGAAATAAACAGCTATAGGTAAAAGTAATTGGACCGAGTTGAGTACAATTCAGGGAGTAAACGCACGAGTAATTTCAAAATCGGGCGAGCGCGAAGCGCGAGGCCGATTTGAAATTACGAGCACGATTAAAAATGAAACAGCACAACAAAGAACAGAACAAAAACGGTAACAACGAGGAAATGATAGCGCAAGATGAACTCATCGGAAGATTAGCACCGTTACCTAAACCCAATGGCTCGCACCCTCTCTTCTGGAGTAGCGTGAAACAGTGTATCTTTTTGTTGTAGATAACTTTCAGTGCATTGTTCTTCGAATAACATCAGCTTGTGCACATCTTGTCTCTCCAGGAAGAGTTCTACATTGTTTAGAATAAACAAGAAAAATAAATAAAGAAATGGAGTCAATATTGATAGGATTGTTCTACTGTGTAAAAGAAATGAACTTTACATGTGAACTGCGTAAAGAATTGACGGAAAATAATCTTTGCAGAAACGAGTTTCTCCTGATCGCAGCACCGGGCTTTCAAAGGAAATCTTAAAAAAGGGCGGAAAGAGACGCGCAGGAGAAGCTAGGAGACACATTGCACGCATTTGATTTTTTCTCATTCCAATCTCCAAGTGTTTTTTTTTCCTACTGGGTATGGGGCAAACTTACGAAGAAAATTGGAGTAGCTACTTGAAGGATCGCTTCCTTTGAGAAATGTAGTCTTATGTGTGACATTGGTCGTTCGTAATTCGTCTAAATCTTCCCAAATCTTGACTTTCCTTGTGTTCGTTTTCACTAAATGAGCATTTACTTTGGTGTTTTCACTCATTTTCACTCACTCAGTTTTTTGTCTGTCCTTTTCCGGTGCAGGCTATTTTTCTTGTTACAGCATCGTGGTCTACAGCAAGCTTTGTACATGAGATGCAGGTGATTCAAGATAATGAACGGTGGAACAAGGACAGGCCTGTGCGCATACTCCAGTATCAGTTGATACCGCTGAAACTTCCAGATCTGGTTTGAGTTGGCTTGGACATTGGAAAATGTGTTGCTATGAAAACAAATTGTAATCTATTCATTACAGAAATACAAAGGTAGCTTGATCGCAAATAATACAACGTAATATCGCTAACCAAGTCTCAGTTTTCTAGTGTAAGATTGTGGACTTCTATACTGCTTCCATTGTTATCCAGAGCAGTTTTAAGCATGTAACCTGCGTCATTCACAGCAGAGTTTAGATATGTCCCTAAGTCGTCAGTGACTGATGCTGAATTGTTAAAACTTGATTGACTAAACATGTTTGTGATGATTTTTCACGTCTTTAAACAGTTTTTTTTATGAGAAACATGATATAAGACTAGACCTGAACAAAAACGTTTTCTGCATCGATCACAGATTAACAAGGATAACAAGAGAGGAATATAAAGGCTAGGATGGTGTGCCTTGACCGCAAATAGAACAACAAGCTACAGACGAATACTGACTAATGAATATTTAAAACTTTCAGTGTCCAAGGACTGTATTGAGCGGTTTTCACTTAGCTGTTGAAAGCAATTCGCGTTTGCGTTAGTTCTGCATTTCTACGCTGAGTGATTCGTTTAAAAAGTTTACGCCACTTTCTCAACTATTGTGAAATTTAACTTAAACCAATCGTGACTCGCTCACACACGTTTTTCCGCCCTTCGTGCTAGCTACACATATTGACTTCGAGTTTTGATTGGTTAACTGGATTGTCTGTGTCTCTACTGATTGGCCAAAGTGGTTACTTTGGTTTTAGTGAAAACAGCTCTAAAAAAATCGTTCAGCGACTAAAAAGGCATCGTACAATATGTACAAGAATGGAAAACTGAGTAGACAAGAGAAGAAAAAAATCGAAGGGCAGACAAAGTACAAATATAACCACAATTACAAAAAAAGAAGAAAAGGTACAATCAAGTAACCAACGCACAGGAAATACAGTTGACTCGTTGAGCTGATTTAATGAAGAACAAGACGTAAAGCAACGATAAGGTACAACAAGGGCCATGAGCGTTGGAACACATCGCAATATTAGTCAAACTGACTGGTGTCTGACTACTTTTTCCAAACAGTTTGTAACTACCCGATTTATACACCTGGGTGGACAGAGGCATGAACTGAAAGAGTAAAGTGTCTTGCCCAAGAGCACAACGCAATGTCCCCCGCCAGGGCTCGAACCCAGACCACTCACTGACTATCGTGTCCGGAGTTCACTAGCCATGAGGTCACTACTTCTCCCAGCATATCACAAAATAACGTCATTCTTTTAACATGACTTACTTGAAAATGGCGATGAGCAAATTAAGCAGCAGAATATTAGCCACCAGTAGAAATAGCGCCATAATGACAGTGACAAGTGTTCCCCCAATTTCATCATAACGCGGTGTGTTGAATGCTGTGTTGTTTTGGTCATCTGCAAAAGACGCACAAGCAAGTCATTCTTTAATTTCTATAAGAAAACCACAACACTAAGCAAAGAACCCGGGGGTGGGGTTACTTCCAGAAAAATAGGATGGAGATGTGTAACTCGCTTCCCAAAACCCTTACCCTATTTAAAAGTCCACAATATGTGATTTTACCTACCCTATTTCACTATTTATGACCTGACTAATAATTTGCTACCTTGTTTTAGACCTGGCCCTTAAATGAATACCTTATTTCAGACCTGCCTTATAATTAGTTCCCTAGTTCAGACCAATGTTAAAGGGATTGTTTATATGCCTTCATTAGGTAGGATCGTTGCCTCTAAAAAAAACACATACCCTATTTGAGACCAAAATGACCAAAATCGATACCCTATTCCTGACCAAAATGGCTAAGAAAACGTACCCTTTGCGGCCGAACAGAGCTTTATAGCTCATATAAGGGAATACCCCCCCACCCCCCTCGGGTGGGGAATAGTAACAATAACTTGCCAGAATAGGTTGTATCCTCAATAAACAGTTCGCCGTAGACTTGAAAGTAAGGTCTGAAGAAGACTTTAGGAATGAGGCTCCATGAGCCATGCTCGTGAGGAAACAAGATGGCTTGCTGTGCTACTCCATATGCCATCAAAAATACCACCATGATCAACAGGAAATAAGTCATGTCGATTGTCTGGATACAAAGAGAACAGAAATATCATAATGCAGGCTACTTCCTATCTCTGTTCAGCGATAATTGAGTGAGACGAATTAAGAATAACACATCACAACAAAAAACAACAAACAACAACAACAACAACGTTTTTTTGGTAAAGCAAGACTGAGGAATAATTATTCACGTAAAAAATAAGACCTCAAATGTCCTCGGTAATAAGACATGTTATGAATTATGTCGTAAATTCATGTTCAATATGAATTCAGTTATGAAGTATGCTAAATAAACTGTGATCGTGTAAGCTCTTCATTTTGTGTCAACTCCGAATAAATGCTCGGCACTTACATCGGAACGCTCTTCACATTTCTGTAACGAGCAACAGATGTAAAGCTTCTTACAGTACAATATTCTTCACTAAACAATGTCTTAAGCTTCCTAGCTCTGTACCCACATCTACAGTCAATACTAAACTGAACTCACCATTCGACCAATCATGACCACATAAGGTCCCAGTACTTTACTGACAGAGAAAATATCAAGCACCCGGATGATCCACAACATGATGTCGAGGCAGTAGAGCATATGACCAATTCTAAGTGTTGCTGGATTCAAGCGAAAACCGACAGCAATGAAGAACAGTACTATGGCACAAGCATCACACAAATTCCATTTGGAAGTGGCCCATTCTTTCAGTTTCTTGCACAGAGTTTTGGGCTCCGAATGGAGCACCTATAGATTTGCAAAGAGGAGATAAATTGACTTTGTCAATGCTCGGTTTTGGAAAATCGACAGAGGCGCTATCTTGCCTCCAATTTCCACAGTTTTGTTGATATTTAATTCGTGTCAAAAGTAATCGAGACCACAGCACTTTGGAAATATATTCAACTGTGGTAACGTCTCTCTACGAGCCAAGTGGCTCATCAGGGCGGCGCTTATCTCCGGCTTCTGTAGCATGAAGCGACTAGGAGTATTTCTACTCCGCCCTGGATGGGATGCTAGTCCATCGCAGGGTTACCTCCAGCACTGCATTCGCCGGTACCCATTTATACACCTGGGTGGAGAGAGGCACTGTGAGAGTAAAGTGTCTTGCCCAGGAACACAACAAAATGTCCCCGGCCAGGGCTCGAAGCCAACCGCTCGATCCGGAGACGAGGGCACTAACCATGAGGCCACCTCTTCAAGTATAGCTCTTTCTAAATATTCTGGGAAACCTTGCGTCGCAAAAAATGTTGATTACGCTGAAAAACACGATTTCCAATGGCTAATGGTGTAAGGTATAGCCGTTTTAGTCTCCAGTTTCAGAATTTGTCCTAGCATGAAAACGGAGAAATATCCGTTTTATCCGCACTAACCTGTCTGATCTCCTCTGTACACAGTGTGAACACAAAAATGATGAGGATCATTTCATGGGGAGGAGGCGTCGGAGGAAGACGAACTAATATGACATAGCAGAATACTATCAGGAAAATGAAGTAGACGATCTGTCGCCAAAAAGAAAATAACAAGTTGAATTAACACACCGTCGCTTATGCGAGCATACCATGCACAGCAAGCCTTGTGTTTCGGTTTAATGAACTATTAATTCACTCAAATTAATGACAAAATACTCATTTATTTCTAATTTCGTGCTGCTGACTAATTGAGGTAAAATACACACCACATTTGCCCAGAATTTAGTGATGGGTGCACGATAAAATTCGCACAACTTCTGTCCCAAACTGAGATCAATCCTGACGCTTTCAGCCTCCTTGTCAAACAGGCTACATCTCTTCTTTACACTCAGAGAGTCAGTGCTTTCTGTACGGCTGTGAGACGAGAATGACCTGCAAAACAATAAATAAAACAACTACCAGCTAATTCATGAAATAACCTTACGTTTCAATTGAACAGGTTCCTAGAATAGGGTTTTTATTTACGGAAAAAGGAAAGCCAGAACAACAGTAACAAGGCAAAGAACAGTCTATTTTGAAAATAAAGGTGAAGAAAAAGTTTAAATCTTAAACATATTTTTATGAATGACCAACCAGAATTTGCTATGATACGATATTGACCGAGTCAACAAAACAAATACGCATAATACAGAACAAATCACCAGATATACACGCACACGCACCTTTTCCGCGAATCCGCGCGAAAACGTTCGCATGCAAGCGAATACAAACGCAGTCACACTGATTGTTAATATTGTTGAAAACGTTTATGTACATTTATGTATATTTGTACAGTTTTGTATCTATTTGCCGTACAGGTCGGCGCGCGCACGCAAAACTGTCACACTCTCCCACATTCGTTGATAAATTTATTGACTACAGCAGTTGGATGATAAATCTCTTATTAGATGTTTTGGTGTGTAGTATCGCTTTATATTTTTACTCGTTGTTTTATTTTGGCGAGCCCTTCGGGCTCGTCAAAATACGGCACAACTCTTAAAAATATACAGCGATACTACACACCAAAACATCTAATAAGATATATGTGTTGTACCTTCAATATGGCTAAAATAAAAATCCTTTATATAATATGTGCATATTAGTCAAAGTGGGTGTGGTTTGGCGGGGTCAAGAGTACATAATCATGATTTGAATTAATTGAAACAAAAGGGAATTTTTGCGCTTTATTTATGCAGAGGATGGAACATCTATAGGAGAGAAATGAACCAAACTTGGGATCGAATCAGTTTAATTTCAAGAAACAAACAGAGCTTCTCAGTTCCCTGTCTTCATTACCATAAAAAAATGTTCTTTTAATATAAAAAGAACGTTGGCAAAATGGACTTCATACTTTTAATACAATACAATGTAGGACCAGAAAATACATTACCTGTGCACAGAACAAAGGAGAAATAAAGCTTGTGTGATAGCAGTGACAACATGTCTTTTTATTGGATTGAAACTTACTGGCTACCAGCTAAAACAAACGTGTCACATGTGAAACAAATGTCTGTAGTCTTCATGACGTAAATTATTTAAATAAAGTAAAGTAAATCCTTATTTTTACGGGCCGAGTAAACAGCCATTGTAGAAACAAAACACAATTAACATCAACTAATCCGGGTAATGTTTTGGATTCGAAGCAGATTATTGATTATTGGTTTATTGATCGTGGCTGATTCTGATGCTGGGGTGGTACGAGTAGTATGGTCCCGAGAAGGTCAGCAATTTGTTAATGGAAACAAGGCACTGGTGATGAACACGGGAGACAGCTTTGCTATAGTCTGTCCAAACGTGGAAGATACAAATAATCGATCCCCTTACGATACCATGTTCGAGAACGTGTGGTTAGTTGGTTCACATGGGTATGACGAATGTGACGCATCAAAAGATGGCAAACTTCTGCTCAAGTGCAAAGATCCTGAACAAATAAAGCAAGTTATTTTAAAAGACCTATACGCGCAATTCGGGAAAACATATTATCTTATTTCGACTTCAGACGGACATTTGTCTTCTCTTGACAACAAAAAGGGCGGACATTGCGAGACGCAAAATTTGAAACTGACTGTGTACGTTCAGTAAATGAATGATAAACACGCAAGTTTAGAATTGACCACAGCCTGAAGAGTAAACTGTCATTAGTTGAGTCTTCAACCAAGCGGATTACCATTCATTGAACAAGGAAATCATCATCAGCGGCAGGAGAACACAAGAACAAGGAAATCATCAGTAGAAGGGGAACACCAGAACACAATGCACAAATCCATTTTGTCAAAGGAGACTATTAAAAGAACCTTTTGTCTACGAAAGTATAGAAAATGGGACGTTTTCACTGCAATGGTGGATCCAGACCTCTTTATAAGCTCCTCTTACTACTTCTTGGGGTCCTTCGAGCCTTAAATTAAGGAGGGATCAGAAAAAAATGTTTCGGCCCTTCGGGCGCGAAGTATTTTCGCCTATACGATCCGCCACTGCACTGTGTTTTCATTGCGGTTGAAAACCATTTACGGCAGGCAAGTTTGCTTGATAGAGTTTACATTTAATTACAGAGATGTCTTCTCGGATCACATTAGACAATAACACGGACAATACAGTACAAGAACTACACTCTGTAAGTTCAGTGACAAACTTCCATTACATGTTACGATACACCTAAGATGTTGTTTAAAACTATAGTTGAGTTAGTAACGGCAAAAGCAAGCGAAAGATAGCTAACTAGCGTAGCATTTACAAGGGTAAATTCTCAACTGGTCAAAACTCGTGATGACGTTTTTCAAAGTTAACAGAATACGCGCGATCACAGCCTGCATCATTTGTAATTACCTGAGATGTATTTGCGAGTCTCCTTTTGAGAAATGAGCAGTGTTTCCGTTGCGCTTTTCATTGCCAGTCTCCTCCTCATCTCTCTTAGTTTGTTCTAGTTCATGTTCCTCGAATGTGACAGGCATTTGACACAGTTCCTTCTTGGTTTTGAACTCCTTAAATGCAATTGTGGGTGGAACCAAGATGCCTAGCACAGTCTGTAAGGACAACAGTAAGGCAACACTTAAAATATGTCCGACGTGATGACCGAAAACGACACTTACTTCCAACTTGAAACAGCATTTAAACACTATTCCTCGGACTCCAACAAGTATTTTCTAAAAGGATTGGCATGCAGGTGTGAATAAAAAAAAACCCAAATGTTTTGCGCGAGAAAAATAGCCGCGAGAAAACTTCACCTTGAGTTTTCGAGTCAAATGTTTTCCTATATGTAGCGTTTTTTGTTGGTTTGATACAATTGTGACTGGTTTGTTTGACACAGAATCTCCTTAAATAGCACGAGTTTGATCCACGCCATCTAAATGTTCCTCAAAGAGACACATGCAATGCCAGGCATCTAACAGGTGCATCGCTACCATGAAAAAAGCACTTGAGTGTATATAGCTAACTTTCCCATTAGCACAAGTGATCACGATAGTCTAACTTACATGCCAATCGAGTCAGATGATCGTAATATTGTACTCTTACCTTCAATGAGGCCCATTCCCCCATTTTCATGGCACCCATCCAGAGCTCCGTTAGCAGTGTTTGACAACACGTGTGTGCCACGAACTCCTCGTGTCGCGTAGCAACAGCAAGTGACAGACAGCACTGGTCTCCCCAGCTATCTAGGTTATATGTCAAAAGTTGTTGCGCCATGTCTTCATTTGTGCGGTGACATTCATCCAGTAAACCCAAGGCAATGTTAAGAAATTCACTGCAGAGAAATGGTCCAACAAATTTTAGCGGTTCAAATTTCAGGCAATACGAACAACACGGAATTCAATCAAGCGCTATATTTGTTTTTCTTCAAGTGACATTTTTAGCGGTCCTTTTACGTACAATGAATGAGCTTGCAGTTCCTCTGACACATCAGCCTTGAGTTCATCCTTGGCCATCTCCTCCGCCAGGGCCTTGAACAGTTTTCCCGCCACAAGGGCCTTGGCCAGGTTCTCATCGCCGTGCTCCCACACATAGAGCGCCATTTTATGAAGATTGGACAGCACTGCCCAGATTAACAGCTCATTGTACGGAAACTTAAATCCAACGCCAAAATAGCTGTCATCTGTAGTTGACATAAACATTTTCATGTTTGCCATTCCGATACCCTGAATAACAAAACAGGAACTTAAGCCATAGTTATTTCTTTCCCGCATCAAGAGGAATTTAGGATAAACACCACAGTTTGTACATTTGAAATTAAAAGTCTTAAAGACAGGTCATTTTGCTAAAACATTATCTCTATCAGATACAAAAGCAGTTTCTTTAATTGTTCCTTTTTTTGTTGACAGTATGTGTCCGTGAAATAGTCTATGACTCTGCACGTAGTTTGAGACGCGTTGTCAAGCCACTGTTCACCTTATTCGCATTTTAGAATTTTATCATAACTGCAGTATATTTTCAGTTTGTTTACTTTCAAAGACAGCAGGCGAGATCAAGAGTAACTTACTTTCTTAATTGATCCATAGTCCTTGTGGTGGTTAACAAAAGTGATCCCGAGTAGTCGCTCTGTAATGTTTGCCAAGTTTTGTAGTTTGAAGGAATGAGCTTCCTGCGAAAAAAAATAACAACCACTAGGATTCCATGTAGGTCGTCTTTAGGTCCCCTTCTCCAAAACGTTTCCCTGTAGAACCGATTTTTTTTTCTTAAAAGCTTTCCCCATCTTTATTAAAGGCACCCCTTCTAAGATGGAATGGCAAGACAATTTATGACAAGAAGACAATGATTTTGTAATGACCAGCGTTTGTTTCTAGAATTTTCTGCCCATAACAATATTTGCAAGAAGCTGTTAATGAAATACTCCTTTGCATGTGCTTTTATGTGTACCATCTCTAATATATAGATTTAGGCCAGTCTAAAAGCGGAGCTCCTGGGCCGGGTTGTTCAGAGCCCGATTAAGCTAACAGGAAAAGGTAGAATTTTGATTTGAGTTTTGTAACTTTGTGGTGAGGTTTTCTGTATATTGTTTAGCCTTCTGTTTTGAGTTTTAATAATCACCATATACACAAAACAAAGCAGCAAAAAACATTTGTCAGTAGAAGAAAAAGTTATAATTCGGTTAACTTTTAATCCTGGGTTAGCGTTAACCGGCTTCCGAACAATCCTGAAACAAGTTAACCTGACATGAGCCCGTGATCCACTCGAAAACCAGCACTAGGTCAGCGGTCAACTTAAAAACAACACGTGATCTCGATGAGCTGTAAACTTGAGCCCGCGATATGGTCACGTGATACTGGTTAGCGGATACCTTGTTTTGACAGATGCCAATTGATCATAACAGGGATGTCCAATATCAAAGAAGTACACGGTAAACCAAGGCTGCATGTCTCTGTCAACCTATTATTTGGAGTATGGCCGCCATGTTGCGCGACTCCGTCGTCGTCTTCGCCGTCGTCGCCGTCGTCGTGCGTACGCGCCCACGAGCAATACCGCTAGCCATGATAACCATGAGAAAATCAGCTCATGGGTTTTCTTTTCTTTCCTATATGAGTATGGGGCTCCGCTGCTTTTTCGGGCCGCCGGATCTCCGCTACTAATCCCCTCCCACCAGGGCTAGCATAGTAACTGAAAAGAATGTTTGTCTTCACTAACCTTCCAGCCACCAAACAGACGACGTAGCGTGGTGCTTTTTCTTGCTCTCTGTTGAAAACCATTATTACATTATTTTATTCATTTTACTATTTTACTATTCCACATTTTACTTCTATTCTGACAACCCTTAAATCTACATGTTAGGTGTCATTTGTCAAAATTGTTAACACTGATGAAACTGAACTGATGGTATACATAACATAAACGTACAACTCTGTAAAGCTCTTCCAGACGACGAGCAGTGAGGAAAGATGACATACTGACGCCGTTCTCCAGCAGAAGGTCCACGAACTTAACACGGTCCTTCACCAACGCCTCAAACATAGCACTTTCCAACGCTGAAATCTAAGAACAAAGAAACAATAACACTACTGATTTAGAAACAAGAGCAGAAGGTTTCAAACGAAAAGCAGGGATTTATATAGAGCAGAATTTGACAGGTAAAAACACTTAGTTCAAACCTCCCATTTACGATCTTCTTTGAAGATTTCGCATTTGGCGATGTCAGCTCGATTCCATATCAATGCGAGGCTGAGTTGATGTGATGGAGAAGCACTGTGACCTTTGTGAAAGAAGAAAAAAAGTTTTAAAACGAAACACAAGTCGAAGGCGGTTCGTTAGGACAGACCCTTTCGTTAGTTACGTACATGGCTAATAGCTATAGGATATTGAAATTCAACAACTTGCATCTAACAAACAGGTGAGGTAACCGACGGACGAAAAGTTTGAAAAGTTATAAATTAAACTTTGAAGAGTTGGAGCTGTTGCACAGGTGAGCTCGTATCTGTTACTTGCTTGCATGTGGCATGAAATATAAAGCAAGACTTCCAGTGGTTATATTCAACTGAGGTTTTAGCTTACCCGAACCGAACAATATCAATGACAGATAGACAGCCTAATGTGTAAAATAATATAGCTCGTTTGAAGTAACTAAGTTCTGAAGCGCCGGCCGTATTATAGAATTATTTTATTAATCAAAACTATAACGAAATTCTCGAACGTGATTGGCTCTCAGCAGCCCGATTTGAGCATTAATTAGACAGTGTACGCGTCATGCTTGTAATTGGACAGTACGCGTCATTTTGCGCGCGCTGTTGCGGTGCACTTTGTTGAGTAAACTGCTGTGTTTTTCAGCTCAATCGATGGTTTGTTCGTTTCTCGAATTTTGTCATAGTTTTGATTAATTGGTAACAGGGCTTCGCGTCGTGCAATTCAGTCTGTAATCATACTCGCGAGTAACAAATCGGACTCCCGCTTCGCGGTCGTCCGATTTTGTTAATCACTCGTATGATTACAGACCGAATTGGACTCCACTCAGTCATATTACCATTATTAATTACAAACTGTATCATGACAGGGACCCAGTAAGCTTTTCGCATTATGGTAGTGTTTGTACAGAGAGCTTCGACTATATTCGATTAATCGGGATGCAGAGTTATGCACTTGAATAAAAAAGTTTGTTTCTTGCGAAAGGATCACCGTCACGTGAAGGAAGTAACTTGTGAATTTCATGGAGGTGTGTATCGCTAGTATCGATACACAAGTCACTGTCTAACCTTGATATAACAAATATTCTGATGGGATCCTCATTGACTTAGTCCACGTAAAAACAACATAAATTAATACCGTTCAAGAGTGCTTTTAAAATTGCTCTGTCGATATCCATTCCTTCTTCGTTCACACTGAAAACTGTGATCTATATAATAAAATAAAGAGACAAGAAGTTTGTAGCACAGAAAGGGTGAACTAAATTAAAACAGCTGTCTTTAAACGTTTATTCAATTTTGTGTCGAGAACCGAGAAAAATGGCTTGCAAAGTGTTGAGATAGACGAGCCTGATTAAAAGAGGAAAGGGTAAGCACAAAAAAAATGACTTACTCAAAGTCGTATTATCGGTAATTTTTGCTCGTTAAGAAACCGTATAAAATTGCTATTCGAATATTGTAGAAGAAAGGAGAAGAAAGAAAACTTATTGTATCACTGAAAGACAGATAACATACATATTGCTTGTTGCCGACGCATCTCAGTACATTCTCGTAAATCTTCAGACATCCTTCCTCGTCACACTCAGGGAAAGCTTTTTCGATTTTGACAAATAGTTGATGATGGTCGACGACATCCACCATTTCCTGAAGGTCACTAGAGAAAAAGGCAAATCAAAAACAGTTAATCAACATGTTATCGTAGAAAAACCAGTTTACTGCAGTGATTAAGCAGATTATTGTTGACAAAATAAACATCCGCGCCGTTATATTAGTAGAAGAAAAATTAAGGCAGGAGGGGTGGACTCTAGAAAAAACAACAACAAAAAAAAACAAACAAAAACAATAAAATTTTACAGTTAAGGCCTACAAAGTTTAAAAGTGGCTTCAAAGGATAGAATTTTTCATTGAGGTGTTCCGTAACGAAACATAATAATGGCACTTTGAGCAAGAATTTTATATCCTAATTTTAATTTCCTTTGTTAAAATCCGTTTAGGTTCTGTTTGTACTGCAATCAGTGAAGATCTTAGTCTAAAAATCAAGCCAGTCAAGTCATGCATCCATGGCCAGAGCCACCTTTCTTCTCGTGCCCAGGCACCGTTGGCTAAGAAGAGCAGGCGGCTCTGGGGACGAGAATGCTTACCAGCTACTTTGAGAGATAAAGCGATGCGCATATGCCAAGATGTCAGCTGCGCGGCCACTGCCTTCCGCAACAACAACTGGAACAGCAGGATTTCTAGTTACAGACTCCAGAACTGTGCGAATGGTGTTGGGTCCTCCTTCAAGCACAAGCAGCACCACAGGTACGCCATGGGTTCGCTCTGTTATGCCAACAGTTATAGAAAGAAAATCAGCACGAACTTTCAGCGTCTCGATCTCTCGTTACGTTTGTAGAGACTGAAATTATTCAACACACTCCAACTCTTATCAGCATCTTTCTCCACTTAACGAAAAAGCGCATGGCAAATTAACACGCCACATAACAAACCTAACTGAATGATGAATTGTCTTGTACGGTTAAGTGAATCTTACCACAAGATTTCTCCATCTTTTTTCGCGAGATACAGTTTTCAAGACTCGCGCGAAATGAGATCTCTCCTCCATATTTGTTGATCGTCCCATCATCCACCAGGATGAAATGAGTGTGATTGTTATCCAGGCATGCGCCCTGTGACAGCATGCTGGAGGTCATATGGTATGGCACCACTTCCTGATAGAGACAGAACTATGAAATTAGCCATTGATCGACAATATCATTTCCACAGCTAAGTAAGTTAACAAAGTGTGATATCTGACTCTTTTAAATCAGTACTCTTCTGACACGTTTAATTTTAAGCTAATGAGGCAAACACAATGACACAGCCAAGTATACATATATTTAACTCTACAAACCGAAAACCTCATATGATCCCACCCTATCATTGGCCAAATCACTCTATGAGACGCGCCTGCAGAGAATCATGGTAGCTGGATTCATCAAAACAAATACCCAAGATTACGAATACAACTACCATGGTTCCTTGCAGGCGCACTTCATAGAGGGAATTAGGAATTCGCATTTTAGTGTCTTTTAAAGGTCAGATTTCCAATCTTTTTTCCAAAACATTTTCCCGTCTCTTACTTGGCTGACCTATTATGAATTCACCTGATTTGCGACAAGAATTTTTCTATGATCTACGATTCCCCAGGTCGCTATGCCAATCAAATGAACCTGTTGAGCATTATCCTTGAGTTGAGCACCGCGTGACATGACTGTGTGACCCCGCACAGCCTCACCCACATGTCGCATGACACCCGTGTTTGTCCCGCCAGTTATGATCCAGGCCCCTGTAGTTTCCGCGGCCTGTGAATATAAGGAAAATTGTAGTATTTCGATAAAATTGCTTTTTTGCTTCTCTTGCAGAGGATTTATTGAAAACTTGCCCACTAAACATACAAGATACAATTTTTGTTTTCCTATTATACCTAGCCTACGCTGCAGACGGAAATTTAACCCTGTAAATAACCGGCCGTACGCATACTTACTACAACATGTCTGTAGCGTTTTGATAAAAAATTACGAAAGGTGACAGTGAACAAATGAATGATCTCCTCTTCACATAAATCGTGCTTTTAGAATTTGCGACGTTTCGGGCGATGTACTCGTTACTAACAGCAGCTGTTGCATGGCTCACTCAGCCCCAATTCACGCTAGTTGACGCCTGTAACGCTCTTGCACTTCTAACAGAAATGATTTTATGTCAATCAGTTCAGTGGCGGATCTAGGAGAGGGACCCCTTATTTTGGAAAAAAAAAAAAGAAAATCGCAGAAGGAAGAAAAGCCGGTAGGGAAAGCAAAACAAATCGGCCCTCCCCCCCTCCCCCTTAGCTCAAGGTCTGGATCCGCCACGGCAGTTGCTGTGCAGAGAGTATCTATATTCAAAGATGTTTCTACGATTAAATGCAAAAAAGCATTAGCGTGGTTTGAGTGAAGTCAAAATGTAAAACACATGATGTGCAAAGATGAATTGCCACTGTCATAAGCTAGAAGAAACTAGTAATGAAGTAGAAACATTAGTGCTGAGACTCAACCTTGTATTATTAAATATTACTTCCTTTTGCTTAAATTCTTTGACTTCAAAATAACACAGTCTAGATAACGCGAATGAACTATTTACCTTAAGAAGGCCTTTTCTCAGCACTTGCTTTAGTTTCGGGTGAAGCACAAAATTCTTTGCGCCTCCAGTCACAGAGATGAGCAGCTTGGGTAAGTCCAGCTTCCATTCCTTACAGAGCAGGCGCAGAGCCATCTCAGGGTCCGTGTCATGAGATACCCGTATGTACTGGTAAGAAAAAGAAACGTTTGAGAAAACAGAAACAGAGAGTGCTTGAGCATATGCGTGAGTGATAAGGTAAACTGAACTGACCTTGGCTCGGCTGACTTGTCCAGCTCCTTGGAATTCGAGCTCGCCGTAAGCATTGGTAGGTTTTGTGACACTATGTTTAGACACTTCCCATTTGTCCCCTCGCGTGCCAGTTGACAGCAGTGCATCACCACTGTGGTATTGCTTTTGGCGCCCACAACAACAACTGAGATAAAACAAATTATTATACATTGAACTCACTATCTCTTTTCTGATTGGTCGAAAGCGTACAGTGAATTTTCGAAATCAGCGCCTGTGACGTCATCTCTGCAGATTATACAATAATCATGTCAAGGACTCTCAAGGTCACGGGCAATCATGTCAAGTTCGCGCGCTTTGTGTTGCTTGCCGTCAGTAAAGAAGCAAAAACATGACTTCCATTTTCTTCGTGCAATGTATAATAAAACAATTATTAGATTCGGTTTTTGTGATATCCAGAATGATCAAGGTCTCGGTAAGGGTTATCAGCCTCAGCCGAAGGCTTCGGCTGATAACCCTTACCGAGACCTTGATTATTCTAGATATCACAAAAACCTCATCCAATAATTGTTTAGTAACAGCGTTTTAGTAAGACTTTCGTCTTGGAATGTTCTTGGTAGTTAGAATAGTTGCCTAATTCTGTTGAAGGGGGTAGCTTAGGAAATGACCTGGGTTTTATATGGCGTGCCGTTTCACTTTCTGTTATCGTCTACTGATATATCTATGAATAAATTGTACTTTACACCGGCACACGAAACTAGAAGTTACCCGGAAACGAAAGCTGTGCGGACTGAAGGAACTGCGTAAGAGTGAAGAGTAAAACAGGAACATGGTCTGCTGACAAATGTAACTCGACCCAACGATCGTGATTGCAGTTTGCATAACTAAGTTGCTGAACCTACTTCACATTCGACCTGTATAATAATCTATGAACAAGTTGTTCTTTGACACGGGTACACTAAACTAGAAGTTGCCCAGAAACCACTGCGAGCGGAGTTCTAGGGAAATCCGCAAGTCTGGAAGTGTGAAGAGTAGAATTCAGTAGAGTAAAGGATTCAAATATTTTTTATTGCAGCTTAACACGACCTTAGGTCGTATTCTATTGGGATCAACCGTTTCTGGTTGGTTGGGTTGGTTGAGATTTTTCGTGTTCTATTGGGCAAAAACAGTTTACGGTTGGTTTGGTTGATCAACTTTTTCAACCGCTTAACCGGCATCAAACCAGGTTGAAACAATTGAAAAAGCATTTGCGTAATTATGTGGCGCGATTGTAGCTCACGTAAGGACTATTCCCAGCAGTTACCGCATTTCAACCGAAAACGGTTGGAAAAGCGTTCTTTGAGAAACGTCAACCGTATCAGCCCAAACCGGTGGCAGTTGAAACGGTTGATCCCAATAGAACACGACCAAAGTAACTAAGTTGCTGATGACACTACCGAAACTTCACGAAATACCAATAGGATAGATCTCCTTTATAAAGTAGAAAACTTTATAGCGAGCACTTGGTTGAAATCCCTCCGTAGAGACCAAATTGCTCTGTCAACCACTGGGATTTACCTGATATCTGCGCCGAAGGAAATTTGATAAATTTTGGACTGAAAACAACTAAATGTGACGACAGCCCATATCGTCAAATTTGAGCGTACCCAGTTGACTCTTAGTATCAAAACACGCGCACGAAATGGTAACGGTCACAGTAAAAAGTCCGCCATGCCGTATGGCGAAAGAATGCGACAGCCTCCAAAATCAAGTTGACTTTTCTTTGTTTTAGATGCCCCAGAGAGTGGCTTGACGAACAACATTGCGGATTTTGAACCGTGTGACCGTTAGTTGTAAAAGTTTCATCTCTCCTCAAAAGGTGAATATCGCACAATTATAGACCGGTCCGGCCGGTTTCAGTCTTTCTTATAAATGATCCTGTTTTAAGAAAACAAACTTTACCTAACACAAAAAGTAATTACGTTTATAAATGTTTTTTTTGACCCTGTTGAGCTAACTTGCAATGAAAGAAAATTGAAGAAAACTCTGCCTCGCTCGCTTTCTTGACATACCGTAAAACCCCACGTTAAAGCCCTAGGCTTATATAACTTTATAAGGGGTTTTGGGTGGGCTTATAAACTGGGGGCTTATATTCGGGGGGGGGGG